GCGGGAGAATCAAAGTGACTTTTTTTTAGTAAAGGTGTTAGCACTTTCATTAAGAGGAGCCTATCAGACAAGGGCGGAGCTAGGTGGGCCCCCCCCACGAGAATTATGTAGAAGTACATATAAATCGTATAAATTTTGGACAATTACGTATAAACTATATCTCACATGAATGAAAAATTGATACACAAAACGTAAAATAGTTCAGCGGAGTTATTGATTCTTGGAAACAGTAGAAAGTGGCGTAAGTTCAATTATTGATGTAGCTAAAATTTTAGCTTCAATAGTTTTTTCCTACGTTTCTTTGATTAAGTAGTCAACTTGGTCCTTTAGTTTCATAAAAGGTGAACACTATGATAGTCATTTCCAGGTATGAAATTTTTGAAGAACATACTACGTACTAAAATACATTATTAATCTTTTGTTCATGGTATGCTCATTAGTTTGATTATTACATAGTTGAAAATTTAGGTTAAAATATATTTTTAGTGATTTTGATTATTATGTTTAATTCTATTTTAATGAAATATATTATTTCATTTTTTATAAATTTATAATTTTTTGTGATAGTGCATGAAATAAATCATTTTCGCCTCCCTCGAACTTCATGGCTCCGCCCCTGCTATCAGAGGGAGAAAATGAAACGTACAAAATCTCTACCAGAGCAGAAAAAAGAACAAGAAACGCAGAGAAAGAGCGAGAAAAGAAATGAAGAGCAATAGATCATCCACAAGTAGGAAACTGAAAGAAAGTAGAAAAACAGGAAGGAAGTGCATACCACAGTGTTGGATTTACCACAAACATTATTCAGCTTCAAATTGGCCCGAGAGCGATGAGCAAGAAGCCTCGCCCTGTCAGCGTCGCCTGGGCGTAGAGCAATGGCTTCCGAAAAGTGCTTAATAGCACGATCGTACCGATATTCTGCAAATGCAATCCAGGCCCTCATCTCTAGATCAGCCGCAACGGCCATCTTAGACAAGTTTTCATGAAACTAACCACAAGTACAAAATAGTGACATTACAAGTTATTTATATTAATGAAGCTCACCTATTCCAATCTTGTGACCGATGTGTTATTAGCCTTCTTTGTCTTTGGCTAAAATATCACTCAATCGACCATGCCCTTCAGCCAGACAAGCTCTCATCCTTCTTCTCCGAAAACTCCACGTCACTTCGACTATCGTTCTCCCTAGCTATTGGTGCGTCCGCTCCATCGGCCTCCCTTTCTTCCTTAATCATATCGACTTCCTTCCACAGCTTCTGATTCCATTTCCAGTGCCTGCCGCCTCTAAAGACGTCGTTGGGGGAGATCTTTCTATATCCGAGCTTAGGAGAGCCGGAGAATCGGGCGAAGGGGGACTCCCGGAGTGGTGACCGCCGGAGGAGTGGGAGTGAGGCGGGGAGCCTATGCGGCTGAGGACCGGGCAAAGCAAAAGCTAGAGTAGACATGAATTGCATGTATTTATTTTTTTATCTAAACTCTATGCACTCATATTTTACATAGTTTATGTTGTACTTAACAGATTTTAAACTATTATACAGGATGCATAAAAACATACGCTTTTACGCTTTGATTCACCGCTTTTCGATTTTACCCCTTTTCCGCTTTTATGTAGAATCGTGCTTTTGACTGCATTGCCAGCTAGTTATTATCTATTTCTTAATTGGGTTATTTCTCCTTTGTTTTTACTCGGAATCAGTTGCATAATTTGTATCCACCCCCTTCTTTTTTTTTTATCCAAGATAAGCCCCAAGGGCATGGCCGAACAACAAATACAAAACACTAACAATACTCAAGAACGGTAGCCCGTATGCAACCGGACTCCCGATGAAAGAGCCTTTTTTGCCACGAGGTGGGCAACTCTGAAAAAACTCCGAGGAGCAAAAGGACGCGAAACTGACACAGGGGACGAGAAAGAGAGAAAGTAAACTTCCCTTAGATGGAGACGACTTCCTCATTGTAGCATCCCCAATGGCGATTTTGAAACTCCACAAAGGTAACAAAAAAACATTATACGTAAGACACTATCTCATAGAATCACGAAGAACAAATAGTTTTGTTATAAAAACATAAGTTATACCATAATAAAATTTACCAAAAGCAAATGAAATAGTTTCATCACCTGTGAGGTTAACGAAATCAGATGCATATCCTTGAGCATTCTTTGTGGTCCAATCAAATCGAGCCAATACATCTTTGCTATGGAAGGTTATTCCATCAAGCCATCGTCGGAATTTCAGATACAACAGCCAATATATGAATAGAACCAACATAAAGGAAACAAATAAAAGAGTCATCGAAAAAACTAACAAATGAGACCTCTAGCACAAATAAAGGTAAAACAAACAAAAAAAAACAATATTAATACATAAAAAAATTAATTACAATTTCTAAATAATACGACAGCTAGCCACAAACCAAAAAAATTATAAAACACAAAATGATTGGACACACTAAAAAAACTAAGAAGAATTACTGGAGAAACACAAAATAAAACAACTAACTTGTAAAGCTCAAACAACAATAACACAAACCAACCAAAATACTGGAGGTGATACACGAGTTACAAAAGGTCTTAAAAACTATAAAAATAAAAGGTAAAACGTAAAAGGACAAAAGTCACAAAGCACTACTAAAATAATAAAAGACGATATTTGGATTTTGCAGGTTCCTCTCAAGGAAGTGGCCACCAGCCCAATCCCGGAGGAGGAAAAGAACGCCTTGGTTGCTGATTATGTGGATGAAGAAGGAACCTGGTTAACCGAAAAATTTGAAGACTTCCTTCCGGAGAGTGTGGTCCATCAAATCACGGCACGTGCTGTTGATCCACTGATGGGGGAGAACGACGTCCTGTTTTGGCATCCCTCCTCGGATGGCAACTTCTCGGCTAAAAGTGCTTATCAGCTCACACAGCAGCCCACAGCTAGCGACCCAAATAGCCCTTGGAAGACTATCTGGAATCTCCCAGTTCCGGAGAGAGTCCGATGTTTTATGTGGCTTGTGGCACATGATAAGGTAAGCTGTAATGTGCAGCGGGTGAAAAGGAAAATTACTTCCTCTCCTTTCTGTTACAGGTGCTTGACGCAGGAGGAGACCAGTCTCCACATCTTCAGAGATTGCCCCCCCGCGGCTTTCTTTTGGGCGCGCACTGTCCCCACCGAGAAGCAGGGCGAGTTCTTCAGTATGCAGCTCAGGCAGTGGCTAACGAAGAACCTGCAGACGGAAGATATGCCGGGAATTGAGACCCCTTGGAAAGCTTTCTTCAGTATTGCGATTTGGAGTCTTTGGAAGAACAGAAACGAGGGCGTCTTCAAAGGGAGTGACAAGACTTTATCGCCACCCTCCTTGACCCAGGCAATCAAGATTAAGGCGAACTTATGGCACAAAGCTTGGATGGCTCCGATGGACATCCTCGGGCGCTGCTCGGCCCCAACCCATCGCACGCTCAGAGATATTGGTTGGACTCCCCCTCCTGCGGGGTGGACAAAGATTAATGTTGATGGCGCAGCAAACGGGACTCAGGGACCAGCTGGTGCAGGCGGAGTTTTGAGGGATCACCTTGGCTGTTGGATTAAAGGTTTTGTTGTCAACCTTGGAACTTGTTCAGCGGTTCAGGCGGAGCTGTGGGGCATCTACCATGGGCTGGGTGTTGCTTGGCAGGCTGGCAGCAGAACTCTTATTGTGGAATCAGACTCTCAGATGGCTCTGCAGCTTATAGAGAAAAGAAATGACCCGATTCATCCTCAAGCAACTCTTCTGACGGCAATCAGACGGAGGATAGGTCAAGATTGGGTGGTTAAGCTAGTTCACACTTACAGAGAAGGGAATAGAGTCGCGGACTGGCTCTCGAAGCACAGTCTCGTCTATCCCTATGGTAAGTGTGATTTGGATTTACCTCCCCAAGGGCTCAGATCTATCCTTAGTGATGACATCAAAGGCCAAACTTTTCCCAGGAACGTTGTAAGTTCGATTGACACCACCCCCACTCTGTAACCCCCTATCCCCCCTTTTTCTTTCTCCTTCTGCGGCATTTTGCCTCCCGTGTAAGCAAAAAAAATAAAAATAAAATAAAAGACGAAAAAGGAAAAAGGAAACATAAATATTAATTAAAGATTAATGAGAGGTCTCAATTCAAATTCTAAATTCTAAAAACTTAAAACCCAAGTTAATAAGGGAAAGGACTGTCGATTGGCTAACAATTAAAAAGGAAGGTACTTAAATAGCTTAATAAGTTACCTAGACTAAAAGGAAGGACTGGATCCACCCCTTGGCTCAACCATTTCATATCGTTAAAACAACCTACTGATTTGGCACTAATAGGCGACATTCCAAGTTCAACCGGATGATAGGTTAACTTTTACGAAATGTCACAACTCCGCACCTTAGACATTGTAGGTCTCAACAAGCATATGCATATACACAGCGGCGGAGCCAAGGGCTGGGACACCCCTAAAATTTGGGGAAAACTATTATCCAATCCTGGTAGTAGTTTGCGTATGGTTAAAAAAATTATTGATATAAGTTATAAGACTATATGATTTGAATCTAGGACACTGCTATTATTAGTAAACATGTTTGCCGTTGAACTACAACTCATTTATTGTTGTATTTTAAACACAAATATAATAGTAAAAATGTTATTCCTTTCCTCAATTATTTTTAAAATCTAACAATTAAACTGAATTAAGGGCTACCCTTGTTTCCTCCATTCTATCATGTCCATTGGTTTACTTGCTTCTTAAAGTTATTGATTTTACAGATTGCAACCGTAAATGTTGAAATAACATTTTTAACTTTGGAATACTTTAAGAACAAATTTCGAAATTGAATAAGCGTTCAGTTCGTGAATGGTTGTATAGTGAGATAGAGAGATTTGTTGAGGCTTATAGACACCGAGTGTATTTTTCAACTTTTTTATAATATGAAAACACGACATGCAGCTTTTTTTTTGTGTAATTTGTGCTAGTTAAATATTTCTTATTTAAGAATTATTTAATTACTAATTTAATTTTTGAAAAGAACTCCCTATATAAAATTCTTGCATATACAGTTACAAATGCCGTAGAATGAGACATACGCTGAAATAAATTTTAAAACAAAAACCCATAGTCAAGCTTCAGGAGCAACATCGGTCACTGTTACGAATGCAGTGTACTATTGAGTAAATTTTTGTGCTTCTTCCTTGATGGAAGTGAGGTTCTTCTTGATCTCCCTGCAGATTCTGCCTTCAATCAGGTGAACGGGCAACCAGAGCTTCGGCTTGATATCGACAAAGTACGAGAGTGTAGTCTCGAAATCTTGGCTTTGAGATGAATCCAGCTCTTTCTCTGGACTCTGTTTCTTGACCTGCATTATCAGTAGCAACCATTTACATACTATTTCACATGCATTTGTAAGAGATGAAAACTGATCCAACCTATCAGATCCTAACAATGACCGCGATAATGAAGTTTGGTAAAAACATTAGGCAGAAAAGACCAGCAAACTTTTGTAATTGGCATAAGACCATTGATGATATGGCTTTGTTAGGCTTGTTAGAGACCAATGGATTGGCAAAGCAATGGCCAACAACCAGGACGACGAAGAAGGATTCTGATATCGCCGTAAGAGCAGTGACCCAGATGATTTAGAAATTCATTGGAATGCAGGGTCGGTTGCATACAGAAGGACAGATGTGAATGATGTGAAAAGGGTAATGTTTATAACAACTGTCTTTTTAACTCTTAATCCAGTTCGAATCGACCTTGTTAAGACTGCAAGACAGTAAAGAAGATCCACCCTAACTTAGGTTTCAAAGCCTCGAATCGGTGAAGTGATTTTCGCTAAAGCATTCGACACCAACTCATCCACATGTTTGTTTAACTTTGATCCAGATTTCAAGCTTGGCTGCTAGAGCAAGTACCCTAGAAATCATTTATAGACGCCAATGTTCAAAACTAGGAATCGTGCAAGGCAAGTAACTGACCAAAAACCAGGATAGATTTCTATGTACATGGACCAAATTGTTACCTGTTCAATGGACCATTTCCCTTCGAAGAACTGGAAGTCACCTTCAGTCATCTTGAACTCAATATCTCGCTTCTTCCCCGCAGATAACCTCTCCAATTCCTTCTCGTAGCAATCCAGAACGGCTTTCGCATTGAATTTCAATCCCAATGGCAACTTCTGCTCTCCAATCTGCCAAAAAACAAAAGGGCATCATCAACAAACCCGCACTTAGATTCCTCCGGGGAAAAATCAAAATAGAGAGAAAAGCCGGCAGGTTATTTTACCTGATAGAGCCTGGCGAAATTGTCCTTCTTCTCGATCAATTTGCTGACGGCGAGGCCGGGGATGAAGTCGGACAACCTCTCGTAATCGGTCAGTATGCTCCAAATTGCGTCCAGGCTCGCCTCTATGCCGATTTTGGACCGAATTCTCCTCGAGTTGCTCCCCAGCTTCTGTACCTCGATGGTGATTCCGCTCCCCGTCTCACCCTCCAAATCATCGCCTGCAAACAAGTAGAAGTCCTCATCATCATCGTCGAAATCGCCGCCGCCGCCGGAATCGTAGAGGGGAGCAGGATCGCCGCCGGAACGGCGCGGGAGAAGCGTGGACCGTCGGCGAGAACGCGGCGGCCTGGGAGGAGAAGAAAGCTGGGAGCGAGTCGATTTGGGGAGGAGAGGGAGCGAGAAGTTAGAGCCGGCGACGGTGGGAGAGCGGGAGAAGAAGGGACGGAGGGGATAAGGAGGGAAATGGGAAGGTGGTGGAACTGAGACTGCTGCTGCCAAGGCGCGCATTATTTTTGTGCGGTTGGGATTTGTTCTGCCGCCATGGCTGGCTAAGCTAAGCTTTGCTTCCTCCTCCTCCTGGTCTCTCCGTTTGAATTTCAGGATAAAACTTTTTCCCACTATTGGGCTTCGTCAAAACATAGTATTGGGCTTCATGGGCCGGTGGATAAATAATTTAGCCTCCTACTTCAGCTGCTACAGGCCCAATAACAGATAAGCCATCTGGTACGCCTACGCCACATCGCAACTGGCAAGTGGCAAACGTTTTATTTATATATAGTTTTATTTTATTAAAATTTTACACCATTAATACTATCCTCCCTCCCTCACTCACATCTTAATAATAAAATAAAATACTGTAAAATACAATTTATTTGTTAAAGAAGTATAAGTTCTCATCAACTTTATCAATATAAACTATCCAAATTTAACTATAAGTATAACCCCACCAACAACTCTCAGATCTAGCGAAGTTCAAATTTTTACTCTGAGAACCCTGCAGTTAAGTGTAGTATATCTTATTAATTAATATTGGAAGAAGTGCCACTGCTGGCAATCACTGCCGGAAGAAGTGAAGCTCTCATCGCCGTAGATACTATTTTCAGTCAGTACTCAAAAAATCCTTCGACTGTTTGCTATATATATATTTAGGGAGCTAGCCAATGTCGGATTGATCTAAGCATTGTTTACGAATCGTGAGAGAGCCTAGATACTGAACAGAGTAAAGAAGAAGGCAAAGAATGAAAGATTTTTAAACACTACACGTACCTGGCAACGCCATATGGCCGCCGTCGAGAGGATTTCTACGCCGCCGACAGGTTTCTCTCTCTCCCTCTCTCTATGTTGTGGTCTTCTCCCCAGTGTTGTTTCTTTTCCGGATGCGATCTGAATGCTTTTCAAGGATCTGCCAGTTGCTTTTGTATATGTACACACAAGCACGCACATGTTCTTTTATATTCGTATACTTAAGCGTGCCCCATTCGTAAAGAGTAGGGGTGAGTACTGAGTAGGGTGGGCGACGGTTGGTCCATATCGGACCACACCGAATCAGTCGATTGCCGGTTTTAAAGGTTGAGTAGCTTAGCTCGCGTTAGGTCTGATTTTCACAACACTGGTTTGTGTGTACCGATTTTCGTTCGTGAGCTCAGTTCTAAACAAAACTGATCATGCACATGGTATGTATCTTAAAAAAAAAAAAGAAAAATGGGAAAGTAGGGGAAGATCCTTGCTATACCCATCCAATCGCTACAAACAATCACCAATAGAGCCTAGGCAGCACCTCATTGCTCATAATCAGGGGTATTGTTTCTTCTAGTCTTTCGCTATAAATATGGAATTGGTCCTTCAGTCATAATCAATCAAGAATCAATTAGCAGAATATCTCTCTAGACCCTAATCTTTCTTCTTTCTCAATCTCGTCTTCTTCCCTAACCTGGCCGCCGACCATTCTTTCTTTCTCTATACCCTCATTCTTTCCAAATCCTCAATTCTATCATCTAATACCTAAATCCCAATTTCAATCCCAATCTGAGAACCCATAGAAACTTGTTTCTATCATTAGTCATATGGTCGAAAAATATAATGAATGCACATGTTACCTTCTTATGATACATGATGTCTCCCCGTAAAAACATGGCCATGACATTGGTGGTAATTGTCAGATGGACGACTGGGCCTTAGCCCACACAAACAAGCTTATTGGGTTGAAATACAGCCGCCGGCCTAGCCCAGGATTTTGGTAAATCTTTCCGACGGAGTTCCCCGAGAGTGCAAGACACAGACGTGCAACACGATGTCACTTGATTATTATTATAGTTTCGATTCCTCAGTAGGTGCTGGCCTGCTGCAACAAAACAAATTTACAACAACACGCTTATCTTCTTCCCAAGCTCCATTTTTTCGCCTGGGTACTTGCTTTCTTTTCCTTGGCAAACAAAAAAAAAAAAAATGGCGTCCGCCTTCTCCTTCCAAGTGGCTCAGACCTCTCGCCCCCTACTTCCGGTCAGTCTCCATCTCTCTTTTCGTCACTGTTTGCTGCCGTTGTTTTGTCGAGCATTCTAATTCGCCGCCGGCTCCTGAATTTGCGTTTTCGAACCTCCGGAGGAGCTAGTGTTTGCTGCAATTTTTCACATTATCTTCGAAACCCTCAAATCAAAACCGAGCGTTGTATGAGAAATGCTGTTTCTTTTTTGGCAGGGTGGCCAGGGTAAAAGTGCCTTCAATTTGAACAGCAGCAGCAGCAGCCCGCGAGCAGTTTCTGCCATCCCAAGTGCCCGGTTGGGTTATACTGTGAATGTAACTTCTAGCTTTGCTGGGAAATCATTTGCATCGGCTTTCCCCATCCTGCGCCTTACTTCAGCTCCATCCATCAAGCACAGAAGGATGGCTTGTGTCAATGCTGCAGCCAATGTGAGCAACTCCATACAGTTAGATAGATGCCTCTGTAAATGCAACATAACAGTACTGTCCTTATTCCCCATTTTCCTCTTGCATATGACATGAATCTAATGTCTCTGTATAGGATGTTGATCTGCAAGCAAAAGTGACACACAAATGCTTCTTTGATGTTGAAGTCGGGGGTGAGCGACTGGGTAGGATTGTGATGGGTCTTTTTGGAGATGATGTTCCGAAAACTGCTGAAAACTTCCGGGTCTTGTGTACAGGCAAGCATTCCTTCCCTTAGCTGTCTGTCTGAAGGCATATGATAATCATAATAATGGTATAGAGAGTAGTTTTTGAGTGGTTTTCGTGCAATCAACTTTATGCATATGCAGGAGAGAAAGGATTTGGCTACAAGGGGTGCTCATTTCACCGGATTATTAAGGACTTCATGATTCAAGGAGGTGACTTCACAGCTGGAAATGTTGGTTCTCCTTTCCTCTCTCTCTCTCTGTGTTGACCACTTGACCTAACTCCCGATGTTTGATATATAGAGGTTGGTTTGAGTTATCCTGCTTAAGGTAATTCATTTTGCTCTTCTCTGCAGGGAACTGGAGGAGTTAGCATTTATGGTTCAAGCTTTGAGGATGAGTGTTTTGACTGTGAGTTTCAACTAGCTTCTTACACTGGAACTATCAGCACTTGTTTCATTTGGAGCAGCTTGTGTGCAATCTAATGTTATTTTTCCCGCCGTTTCTCCAGTGAAACATGTTGGACCTGGAGTATTGAGCATGGCTAATGCAGGTCCTAACACCAATGGAAGCCAATTTTTCATTTGCACTGTGAAGGTAAGATTGCTATGTGAGGCAGTATAATGTCAATAAAAATTGTAAATTTACTATGCATATTCAATTATTGAGGTTGTTTACTGGTTGATGTGTCATGCGTGTATGTGTTGCAGACTCCTTGGTTGGACAACCGCCATGTGGTGTTTGGAAATGTCATCGATGGAATGGACATAGTAAGGAAACTTGAAGCTGTCGAGACCAGCCGGGCGGATAGCCCTAGGATGCCCTGCAGAATCGTTGATTGTGGGGAGCTGCCATTGGAATGATGATTTTATTAAGCTTATGGATGTTTCTAAGCCCCTGAGTTCAGTTTCATGCCTCAGTTTTCTTCTGCAAGATCTCATTTTTGTAATGCTTTCAATCGGCGCCTAGTGGTTCAAAGTAGTTCGAGTTGAACTCTATCTGTACTTTGTTTTTGGCTGGTTCAATATTGTAACTCTTGTATTCCATTAAAAGATTCGGAGAGTTACATAATAATTATAAAGGTGACTTTGGCATCCATTTTTTATTCTATTAGTCACTATCTTAAAATAACAGCAGCAGGATTTGCATCTGTGTTTGGTTTGAAGAATGGCAGCAGGGAATTCTAAGCCAGGACCAGGGTCTCGACCGAAGTGGACTGGATGACTTGCTCTTGCTGTTGTGTTTCATCTGCCCAGATTTCAGGTATAGCTTCTCTGATGTTGTGGATACTACTCAATGCATAATCTGCTCCTTGCACCAGCACTGAGCTTCCCACCTGCAATAAGTTTGTTCATATTAATAGGTTGTTATGTCTATTGCATATATCCTCGAATTCATACCGCCATTCGATTAGGTAACAAGCTTTATACGATGCTTACAATAACTGTATGAAGTCCAGCTAATTTCCCACTTGCTATATTTCTCGTACTGTCATCAAAGAAAATCTGCAGAAGCAAAGTTTATCAGTCAGCAAAGAAAAAAAACTCAACCAGGACAGCTTTAAAAGCTTCAGGCTCCAGTTAACCCTTACTGTTTTCTGTGGATCAACATCTGCAATTCTGATAGCAGCTTTGATGGCTTCCACAGACGGCTTGCAGAGGATTCGTGTAGTGGAGCTGGGAGGTTTAGCTTCAGCAGTAGCAGCGAGAAGAGGAGAAGGGTTAAGGGTTTCAAAGCAAATGACGCCATCAAAGCAGTCTTCCAGTCCCAACCTCTTGAGAGCCTCAGCAGTGTGTGCCTCATCAGAATTAGTGAAGATCTGGAAAGACACATACACATGAAAGAGGTCAGTTTTGTTTATTCAATGTTATTAGGACTGCGGCTGACCTTTCCTTTTCGGCTGCTTATTTGAGAGGAACAGTTAAATTAGGAAGAAGAAGTAGTGTCTTTGAACGTACAATTTTCCTCTGGGGCATGGAAAGCAGGAGGTTCCTCAACACAGGATCAGGCTTCAGTTTGTGGTAAGGCAATGTTCCATGAACACAAGCATGGAACTCATCATTGTCAAATTCATATCCCAGAACCTGATATAGTGAAATCCCGAACAACGTGAAAAATGGGGTCAGAATTGCTTCAAAGTGTGTAAAAGGGGAAAGAAGCTATGTTTTTGGAAATTTGAATAGTGAGTTCAGACTTTTCTGGGAGACTAAAATTGGAATAATCAACAAAGAATCAAATTTGACTGCTTGAATTGTATGCATTTAGGAACTGTTTTTTTTTTTTTTGCTACCAAAATTGATAGGTTGGTTGATGGCATTCTCATAATATTTTCATTTGAGATCATAGGTTGCAGAGGACATCAACATATTGTTTGATTGCTTGCCTTGAGACCGGCCATTGTTGTCCCATGTTCTTTATAGAGTTCCAGACACATTCTTGGGACATCAGTTTCATCAATTTGCAGCTGATGCAACATGAAATCTGCAGTGAATATGAAACCACAATATGAACTTCCATTATTCATTGAAGATAGACAAGGATAGAGACAGAGGCAGAGACAGAGAGGTTTGAGTTGATTGTAAGCTCTTGAACTCTAACCTTGTATGTTTTTCCGGCAGGCCAAGTTGATACCTGAGCTTAATGGGTACAGAGTATCATCCAGGTCTGTTACAACAAGACATACATAAAGCCATTAGAACAATCTGCCCTTTCTGAAGTTAAAAAGAAAGCTTCTTTGAAGAGGTAAGTACTCTTACCAAAGAGCAGACATTCATATTTGGGTTCTTTGGTTGCCATCCTGCTCGCGTCCATCTCCAGATAAACTCCTGCAATTTGATTTTTCATCATCAGATTGGAAAGCTATGGCAGAACGATGGGAAGAAGAAGAAGAAGAGAAGAGAACTCAAAGGTACTCTACAGAACAACACAATTCATTTATAGTGAAATAATGTGAAGGGAATATGCTAAGAGGGTTGAGTATACATTGAAACTTTCAACCAACTACAGGTTCAATGCATGAAAGCAACGGAAAAAGCATCAACGGTGAGTAGGATGAACTTGTTCATAGTTCTTAGAAGAGAAGAAACAACCAAAACTTAAAGAGCATATAACCGAACAAGTAATGGAAAGGACGAAGAGCAATACCTCCTTTTGGAACGAATAATAACAACACACACACAGCCAGAGAGCAATGGGATGAAATGAAGTTGCTGGTTTTTGCTTGATGATCCAACAGTTGGCGGGGAAGAGGGTTATTTATAGAAGTTTACGTGTAACCAAGAAATGTTTGGAGGTGACACGTTGGGAATCTTAGGTGGCGACGCATTACTCAAGAGGGTGATTAATAAAGGCTGTTGTTCGAACTCGAAAGGGAGGTGGTTGCGTTTGCTTTGCCTACTTTTCTTGAATGTGGCCATCTATTTGGACCACTAACAAATTCAATTAGGGTGCTAACACCATCATCATTATTAGGGCTAGAAAAATAGATCAGAGTATTTGAAAAATCGTCAACTGAATCGGACTGCATAATAATTTGGTCCGACACATAGATTGTTGAGATCGGTCTGATCTGTTCCATGATCTGTATTATAGGGATGTATTGATTTCTTGATATGGTTTAGTTTAGACCACGGTTTACCATACCAAACGTTGAATCCAATCCACTTTCCAAATTGTGTTAATAGCTCGCTCAACCACTCTCCCAACTATTTAACGAGACCCAAGTCTCAAACCTTTTACTCCAGCTTCCCGATAGGAACCATAGACCATATGCAGTACGATACGGTCTGGACCTGGCCGCACTGCTTCCCATCCCTCCCTAATCATCATAAAGATGTGCGTATATCGTCTTCAGTCGTCCGATCGACTGGTGGGGCGCACTTTGCAATTGTTGTTGGATGAGTATAAATAAGATATCTTACATTCTTCAAATGATTATGGAATGCACAACACTCGATCAGACGATGAAAAACTTGATAAACACGTATTTACAAACAATGATATAAGCACCATAATCAGTTTTGGAAATGCACATCTAATAGGAAAATGGCAATCAAGGTCCAACAGCGCCATGCACATCAGCCACCAGCTTCACGGTTGCATCCACGGGGATAGAGCACTATATATATTATATATGAGATTATGTAAAATGTGTCAGATGTGTATTAGATTAAATAGTGATATGATTAATTAATTGATTCTTATGGAATCATATCATGTTGCATCCTGGGAAGGGATAACGATGATTCGAAGATGATGATTTTGGTATAGTTGAGAATGTAGGGCTCATAACCTCACACACCCAACCCAAGTACAACATATTCTTCCTAACAAGGATCAACCGTTTCGGTACAGGCATATCCATCGTCATGGGACAATCCAAGTACGGAGTACCATATCGGTTATACAAGGGAAGGACCGAAGGAAAATTTGTATATTAGTGTCCACCAAACCCAATTAGTACGAGGCCTTTTGGGGAGGACACTCAAAAGTAAATCCTTGAGAGCTTGGTTCAAAGCGGACAATATCATACTAATTGAGCACCCTGGTTTGACACTCTCCTTTCAAACAAAAGGTAAATGCGGCTTTCTATCAACTACCCATTACAGTATAATGTGTATACTACAGGAAGCCCAACCCGGTACATGGAATTCTTCGATCGAAATCCTTCTCGTAATAACTACGAGTAAACTACAACCTATTTTTCCTAAACAAATACTAAAATGCAATCCAAATCCTACTAGAACAAATAAACAATATTAATACATACTAATTTAATAGAAATAACACACAAGCCGGTAATTTTCCTAATTATTACGAGTTACGACGACTTGTTTCTCGTAACAATGCTCACAAAGAGGCCTTATTCCAACTTTTGAGATCTTTGAACTTCAATTCCTCCCTTTTTCTTTTGAAAAATTAATCCAATATGACGCAATGCTTGTTTATATAGTATTTATATTACATTTTAATATTACAAGAGTATGTTTATACAAAAATTTAATAGATAATTACGTGTGTTAATTTGCTCGTAAATGGTAGAAAATGCTATCAAACATTTTGCAAAATTGAAGCCCGTATCTTTCAAAAGAACAATCTAACATTTGGCAAACGACCGACAGATGCACGTGGCTTCACCTGGTTCGCTGGCTTAGGACCCAAGAAAAAGAAAAGGAAAAAAAAAAAAACAAATTAACACTTCCCAATCACATTCGCCGGATTTTCAATTCCCTGAAAACCGAACAGTTCCCTTGCATCGCCATAGCTTTCGCGCCCCTCATGAGTTCGTTCAAGCACGCAAGCAGGCTCCTCGACGGCGTCTCTCTCGTGGCCAAGGAGATCGCCAAGCGTTCCCCTGCTCTGGAAGCCGCCTCTAAGGGAGATTACCAAACCCTAATCGTCTCCACCGCCAGAAAGGCCTTGCTCGCCGCCACTGACTTGTCCGGCCTCACTAGGGGGAAAGTTCGCCAGGTCTCCACTCCTCGCCCCAAGGAATCGGTCGTTTATTTCGACCAATCTAATGTTACGGCGGATTCGATCCCCGTCCAGGCGCAGCCGCTGAGCGACGACGATCCTGCCGCGGCGGTTGTTGCTGCCGAGAAGTTTATCGAGGACGATGGAATCGCGAGGGACGGAGTCAATGTAGAGGTGGGGAATGCGCTTCCGTTGGAAATTGAGGCTCGGGATCAGGAGAAGGTCGATTTCGTAGATGAAGTGGTGGCTGCGCCGGCGGTTCCAGCTCCGGCACCTGCAAGCGACGGTGCGACAATGACGGTGCAGAAGAAGAGGAAGCTGAGGGAGAGAAGAGTTCCGTCAACTCCATTTTCCAGGGCGCTCGGGTGAGCTATCTCTCTTTTTGTTTTCTGGCCCCATTTCGAATTCATGTGCCTTTCAGTCATTGTTCCAAAGATCTAGGAACCCTAGAAATAATTGAGAAGTTTGTTGCTTGACTAAGATGTTTAGTATGTGGGAGTTATTGGCTTGAGAATTTGCTCCTTCTTCAACTTATCTGTATGCTATTATTTGGTAAAGGTTTGCCGGTCTAGGAGCTGGTCTTGTATGGGGAACAGTGGAAGAAGCTACAAAGAGACTTGTGTACGGCACCCCACAGACAGCAGAAGGAAAGCAGTCTGCCATTTCCCCGTTTCTGTCTGAAAAGAATGCAGAGCGTCTGGCATTGGCACTTTGTAGGATGCGTGGTGCTGCACTCAAAGTTGGGCAGATGTTGAGTATACAGGATGAATCGCTTGTTCCTGCTCCGGTTAGTTTGCTGTCGTCAAAACTCGTACAAATGAGAACTTTGTCGGTCGATTGCTGTCTCAGTGAGAGAAGTAGGATTCTTCTTGGGGTCTTTTGGATGCGTGAATGGTGGTAGGGGTGTTGAAATAAACTTAAATGGCTAGATTTGACCCTTAGATTTTGAAAATGTTGTTGATTGAATCGATGGACTATTTGAGAAAGGTAGTTGTAAAATATGGGTTAGCTGACCTTTTATTGGGAGTTTTGGGAAGAGAAATTTGGGGCTTGGAGGTTTCCCAATTCCATCAATCAGGTTTTCCAGAATTCATGATGGAATTTAAAGTCAGTTTAATCACTCAATTCCCAAAACCTTTTCCTGCCACCTTGTTTGTCATTAATTGGTTTGATGTGTAGTAATTCTTATAGCGTGGTTGACTTGCTGTTGTCTTCCAAGGGCTTCTGTGACCTCTTCCTCTTTTGATAGATCTTGGCTGCTTTAGATATCGTTCGCCAGGGAGCAGACGTGATGCCCAGGAAGCAGCTCAATCAGGTTCTGGATGCTGAACTGGGGTCTGATTGGTCTACCAAGTTGACCAGTTTTGATTATGAACCTCTTGCTGCTGCAAGTATAGGACAGGTGATACAATGTAAATGCCTTGTTTGTTTCGTGACTGCCCTTTTCTTCCTATTGTTGCTTGTTTCTGGATAACATTTTTGAAACCAGAAGCTGGTAGCTTGTATTGTTTTTCCAATGCCGATTGCTCATTTTTCAATTTCATTTTTTAATCATTTATGGATCTCGAGTTTTTTTCTCCTATATTTCAATTTCTATATATTATGCAACAATCATGGCCATTTTTTAAGTATCTGGGAATAAATTATTCAGGCTACTGTCATTGTGAGCAGAAGGTGACATGTAGGCTTCCCTTTTCTTCTGTAGCATCAAATGTTTTTTACAGGTGGTGAATAGTTTCTTGTTTTGTTAATGTACTCAGGTGCACCAAGCAGTTACGAAAGATGGGATAAAAGTTGCAATGAAAATTCAATACCCTGGTGTTGCAAACAGCATTGAGAGTGACATTGAGAATGTGAAACTTCTTTTGGATTATACAAACCTGATTCCAGAAGGACTGTATCTTGACAGAGCAATGAAGGTGCATATATCGCCCTTGATCTCGTTCAGCCAAGGTTCGACTTTTTCAGAATCAGTTTCTAATTTTGGGTCGTGAAATTCTCTTCAAGGTGGCAAAAGAGGAATTATCCCGGGAGTGTGACTACATATTGGAGGCAGCTAACCAGAAACGCTTTCGTGATCTCATCGCTAACAGGAAGGGTTTCTATGTCCCTAGTGTTGTGGATGAACTTTCAAGCAAAAGAGTCCTTACTACAGAGCTGGTTTCTGGTAAGTTTGTTGATTTTTCACTTGAATCTTAATTGTCTCCTCCTCAAGGCTGTTCCATGTTGTCTGGTCATTGATTCTCCGTGGTCTTACTAACTCCTTGACTAATATTTGAGACCTTTCAAACTTGAATCTAATGGAACCTCACAGTTTCCACCTTCCAAATTCTTTTTCTGCGGGCTGTCTTCTGATAAATGTGAATTTATGTCAGTATGCTGATCATGGATATTTTACTTTCAGGAGTTTCCATTGACAAGGTTATATCACTAGACCAGGAAACTCGAAATTACGTAGGCAGAAAGTTGCTGGAGCTGACATTATTAGAGTTGTTTGTCTTCCGCTTTATGCAGGTCTGTTCTCTGCCTCTCTCACTCTCTCTTTATATATATATATATATTGATGTAAATGTAATTACTGATGAGAGATGACTTTCCTCAGACGGATCCTAACTGGGGGAATTTCTTATACGAAAATGGCACAAAGACCCTCAATCTCATAGACTTCGGGGCAGCGAGGGAATATCCAAAAACCTTTGTCGACGACTATCTGAGAATGGTGAAACTCCCTTTCGAATTCAGCAATCACTCAGAAACTGTTCACTGGAACTTACCCTGTATTTGAGAACTTACCCACATGCCCGTATTAATTTGTGTCAGGTGCTAGCGTGTGCAAATCGTGACAAAGATGCTGTAATCGAGATGTCATCAAGACTCGGGTTCCTCGTAGGAGGAGAATCCGACGAAATGCTGCAAGCACACGTCGAAGCAGCATTCGTGGTGGGATTGCCCTTTGCTAAACCAGGTGGATACGATTTCCAGGCCAACAACATTACTCATAACCTGACAGGTCTTGGTGCCAAAATGCTGAAGCACAGGCTGACACCTCCGCCGGATGAGGCGTACAGTCTTCACAGGAAGCTCTCCGGCGCGTTCCTGGCCAACATCAAGCTCGGTACAGTCGTGCCATGCAGGGAAATGTTGCTCGACATCTATGACCGTCATCAGTTTGGCGAAGAGGCTAGCCGATGATGAAATGTCTCAGCAGCTACAGAGAAAGAACAATCTTATTAATAGATGTAGAGCTTGATTTGTTTGAATGTACTTGGTAATTTGTCGTCCATATTGAGTTTTTGGCTGAGTAGCAAAATAAGGAAAATTGTATTTTGATGCATATTGTATACTACCTATCGTTTTTGGCAGTAGTGAGACAGTGGGAACTGGCCAAATTAGTGCCGGAAAATGCAGCCAGCTGCAGGCTTCCTTAAATGTAAATGCAGAGGAGATTAATTTCAAGAGATTATTCATTATGCCTCGCTCTCATCCCTAATCTATGTCTAATTCACTTATCTTTTTTATGGTAATAGAACTTTCCTACAGAAAAACTATGTTCACTGAAACTTTAAATAGAATAATAATCTATGTCTATGCGAGCTGCAACTTTTTATAGATCTAGTAGATTACAATGAACTCGTTTTTCATTTGAAAAAACAGAGATGTAACACTTTAGGCAAATCCCACATCGACAAAGCACGGGAGAGATCCATGGTTCATACGTAAGAAACCGGCCTTAACTGACAAGACGCGTTTTGGGGTGAAATGAAGGAGTTATTGTGAGAACTCCGAAGTTAAACGTGCTCAGTGTGGAATACAATAAGGATGGGTGATCTTATGAGAAGTCATATTGAATTGCACCCCAAATCAAAAACCGTGAGGGTCGAGACCCAAACCGGCAGGAGCGGAGCTATAGGTATTAGACGTATAAACTAACGTTAACATACAAAATTAACTGACGTGAAGATTTGAAAGTAATAATTCACGTAGTCTGGTGGAAGAAAGTTGGATGCCAGCTACCAATGGTCAAGGTATCGATCCTTGGAAGCAATATCAATTTTTAACCGTCTAGGGCTATGAAATGATATACCATTCTCATTTTTCACCAGATTTTTTTTAAGCCGTTTATATTTGATTCTCAAATAATCAATTTAGACATCCTTTAAGTTTTTATTTAACCAAATAGTTCTATCAAACGCTTAAACTTTCATATTTAGTTTGTTAATTATTTAATTTCAAATTATGTCAATTAAATCCTTTGGTAAGATGATTTTCGAATATATAATGAGTCATTTTCCCCAAATATTAATGTTGGTATATATTGGCCTTCAGCTATTAAAATAGTTTACACCACACAATAGTGAAATGAGTTAGTAACTTGTTTATAGTTTTATTATTTATATTGAATTTAATATGAATTTTTTTGTGCGCTCATGATAAAATAAAATAAATTTTTGTTTAATAGAATTTTAGCCCTTTACCTGACATATTAAGAGAACTCGGCCCCCCGAAACCTAAATCCTAGCTCCGCCCCTGTAAAACGGACAATATCTACGTCGGAAAAAGTTTCGAGATGTTAGAAGATATAAACAAATAAATCTCATTTCTGTTTTACAACAAAATAAATCACAATTCTTAAATCTGACCCAACTTAAAATTAAGAGCCAGATCTGATTATACAAGTGTTATTATTCACCTTGGATTACAAATGTAATAGTGGAGCAATAACCGACATTTTGGGCCAACAACCGCCTTTAGTTTCGAGGCAGGGTTTTTCTTTAAAAAGGGAGAAAAAACTCTGAAAGCCGGGAAAAAAAGAAGTCCAACAAAAACCCCGCGCGGGAAATACCGTTAGATAGAGCCGATAGCTTTGGCGCTCTTCTCTTCTCCCTTGAGTAACCAAGAAGCGCAAAGCAGAGCAGGGGAGCAAAGCAACAACCCAGCCAGGTATCCCTCCCCGCTTTTCCTCTTTTCGTTTCCGTTTGGCTCCCAAGAAAAGCTGCTGAAAATGTCGGCTTCTACCATCAATGGGTCTGGGTTTCCCTTTTCAATCTCGATTTGTCTCCCTTCCGCTGCTTTCCCAGAAAACTGGGGAAAGATAGGGGGAAAACAACGGAAGAAAACTTTGAGTCTGATCAGGAGATTGATATGTATGATGTTCTTCGCAATTTCTGCTGCTTTAATTCGTTTTGGTAATCTCTAGGGATTTCATCTCTTTCTGCTTAGTCGACCAAGATTCCTGCTTCCCGTTGTCTCTCTTCTGCTTTGATCGTAATCAAGAATCTAGGGTTTCTTGTTAATTAGGGGAGAAAATTATGGTATTTCCTCAAATTGGGCTGACCAATCTCTCTCTTTTTTCTTCTTCTTCTTTCACCTTCATAGTTTGTTACAAGCGATCTGCTGAGTTCTCTGGAATTACACATGGCTGAGGAAGTCCAAGTAAGTCTGCCACCAATTTTGGGGGTTTTGGGTTCTTCCGGGTATTTTTTGCAGAATCAAGGTTACTTAACAAATTGTTAATTATTGCGTTTCGCCAATTTCTTGTAGCAACGATATAAACTGTTTTCACTGGAAATCAACGACCGCTCTGGTGCGGTATGGAGATGCCTTGACACCTGGACGGGGAAAATTGTCTCAATGAGGAAGATTTACGTTGATGATATGAATGATATAGCTGCTGTTATGAGAGAAGTTACCCCTCTCATGGATCTCAAGCATCCTAACACTGTCAGGTATAAAACCATTGTTTGGTTGTTTTTATTCTGCCATGTTTCATATGAAATGATTACCTTTGGCGGTGATGTTCTGATGATATCTCTTGGGCAGATTGCTAGATGTATTGATCCACTCGAATCGGGTTGAGCTTGTTTCTGAGCATCTGGACTGTGACCTGCTCAAGTACCTTGAGAAACCAGAAAGGATTACTCAGCCACAGATAAAAGTGGGTCAGATAACTCAATCTCTAGATTGTAAATCGTTTCTTTCTAGTCTTTTGGACTGTAAATCATCTCAATTTTGGATTGTAAATAGTTTCTTTCTGGCTGGTATGTGCCTTTCAAACAGTTCTGAATTAGCTAGCTGGTCTTTCTAATTCAATAGGGTAGATGCTAGTGAATAACTAAGTTCAGACATATGATCGCTTTGTTTCTGTAGGAGATGCTGCGTCAGATACTGAAGGGTCTTGCAAGCTGCCATTCCAAGAATCTTGTGCACGGGAACTTGACACCCAAGAGTCTGCTGATAGACTGCAAGAGCGGGACTGTGAAGCTTTCTGTCTTTGGTCTCACCAGCATCAATAATGTTGTTAGCCACCACTCACATCATCATCATCATCATCATCATCAAAGGCTTCATCCAGATCCAGGAGGAGAATATACTACGTGGGTAAGATTCAAGAATACTTTGCGCGAAGCTAATCAGGCTGTCATCGTTTCAATTGTTTCATATGCTAATAGTGGTTGCATACTTATGAACAAACTACTGGTTGCATACTTTTCAGGAGATGAATGCCGCATACATGGCACCTGAAGTGCTTCTGGGCCGCGAGGGATGCTCCTTTGCTGCAGATGTGTGGTCAGTGGGATGTATCCTCGCCCTTATGCTTACCAGACAGCATCTGTTTGCTATGAAGGGAAATGAACTGGGAGGTCAAATACCATCTCAGTTGGACCATATGTTCAGGTATCGTACGCAATCTTATGCATCCCTTCTCTCTACAACATTCAGTTTAGTTACATTTATATGCTGCTTCCTTCCTTCTCTCCCTTAATTGTTTAACGAATGCTTACAGAATTAGAGGTTCTCCTGAGTGGCTTCTTGGAAATGCTTCCTCCAACTACCAGCTTCAGGTTCCATCCTCTTCTTTCCTCCTGTAACTCAGTTTTTTTTCAGGACACTGAAGATCGAATGGCTTTGAATAATCTCTTGTGTTTGGCTTGCCTGCAAAAAACCAGGATCTGACAGCAAAGTTGAACTTTGGGGATTCAGCTGGCCTTGATCTTATCAAGGTAAGTCACAGAATTTGTTTCCTTCCTATTCATTCCTGGTTCCTGTATTCCCTTCCGGTTAGAAGACATGGTCATGATAGTGATGAAGTAATTGGTGTGGTTGTTTTCCATTGTTGAGCAGAGAATGCTGTGCTTAGATCCAGCTCAAAGGATTACAGTGAGTGATGCTCTGGCGCATGAGTACCTTACGAATGCATTAGTTAGTTAGCTGGGATGATGAACAACAACTGGTAAATAGTGAAAATGTGCTGCTAGAGTAACCTGGGATGAACAATTGTAAATTCTGCCTCGTTTTTGATAGATAGATAGATAGATAGATAGAGAGAGATAGGCTCCAATTTTGACTTCACCCACTGAGGTTCCCCTGTAAATTTTGAGTTCATCCACTGTAACCAAACGTTTCTTGTGCCCATCAGATTTCAATATTGAGACAGTCTTATAGGCCTTTTTCTGGATTTTGTGGTCAACATTTCACTTGACAAGTTGATTTTCTTTGTCAACTTTGCCCTCTCAGTGTTTCCTGAACCCATTAAGTAATTTGTAGGCAAGATTGAACCTTCAATTTGGTGGATATGTGAATTTTTTTTGTCATTTTTTTTGTCATTTCAATACATGAAAAATAATTATGAGTATTTCTAATAAGAGCTGGTGACATGACATTAACTAAAGTTAAATTTGTAATGTCATATGTAAAATCGACATATACGTGAATTATTTCGAGTAGATGAAGAAATTTGGATGATTTAAAGTTTTTCATTCCTTTTTTGTTGTTGGACTTTTTTTTTTGTTGGGGCTTGTGTAGCCTTTATATTGTTTTGAATCAATGCAACCATGTGGTTATTGATGAAGTTGATCCACATAAAACCAAGTTATTTCAACAATATGGTGTAAATAGAAAAATAATACTCAACCAGACTACAGCCCAACAAAAATTGCCTTCAAAACCCAGAAAAGGGCAAACACATACCAGAGATAGTTTCCATTGAAGCTCTTGTGCATAAGATTCCAGAGATTGTTTCCATTGAAGTAGAGGGTCATATGAAAATGAGGCAAGAAATAAATTATGTACAACACAATTGAAAATGTTACTCGGGACAACACTTATGTGATCAAGGGACAGATTATGAACAAAAATGAAGAAGTGAAAGACACTAGAAGGTGGTTCCGTATGTCGTGCACCTCACGAATGACAACTCGACACACTGATGTAAAATTCCAAAGTAATGACAAGAGGAAGATTGGGCATATTTAAACGAACCCTTAGTTCCAAAATTGTCTCCCAACTCCGAAGAGAAATAAATACAATCATGTCAAAAAAAAAAAAGGAGGACTAGTTAATTAAGCGGGGGACATGGTCATATGGTGTATGGACCAAACTAAGTTACATTATAGCCTATAGTGGTGGAATTGAGTGGAGAGTAACAAACAGCTGTCTAAGTCTAACAACAAAGGTCAGACTCAAATCAACTCAACACTCAATTATTTTTCAAGACTTTTTTTGAAAAGTACTCCAGAAACCCGAAACAAAAAAATTGTATGTGTAAGATCTAGAAAGGGCCAAACTAGTGCATGATAGTTGTATAGTCTACTACAGTAGTGTGAGTTTGTGACAGGTTCTTTCATCGGAACCCCACGGGAACAATTGACCAACTCGTTAGAAAACCATTTTGCATTTCCTTTGTCATAGATATTCACAGACCAAATAAAATCTTCACAAGCAAATGACACGAATAAAGGAGATAAAGGACGGTGGTCAACTGTGGCCTAATCATCGATAAATGAGTCTTTTTTTTTTTTACCGTGATATAAGCATCTCTTTGATATCTTTTTTGCCACTATATGGACACCATCAATTTATTATACTTCACTTAACAAGTTAACACAAACGCAATGATTCAAAACAAAGAATTACTGAAAGCATTAGCCATTAGAGAACAGAAGTGGGAACGATAAGACTTCCAAACAAGAAAAGTGGAAAGAACAGTGAATCCGAACTGTGAATGAATGAAAGCGTGGGGTGGTGGATTGAATCGACCCACCCATTATTCTTTTCTTTTCCTTTGTTACTTGGTTTCTTTCTTTTAAGTGGAAAATATTCCCCACTTTGAAAACCCAGAATAACCAAAAAAGATAGCATAACAATATGACTCTTAATTCACTTCATCCCAGTGTTTATATTCATTTTTTGTTCCCTTTTCTGAACAGAACCTAGACGGCAATAATGAATGTTTACTCGAAGAAGCAATGCAAATCAACAATAACAAGAGAGAAGCCGGAAAGACGGCAATGTTGTCTGTTTGCTTTCTCCGTCTCCGGCCGCGTTTCCGATCCTAATCTCTACTCTAATGTCTTACTTTTAATATATTTTCCCGAAAAGGACCATTGCCTGCCTTGCCCGCACTTTCTCCTTTCCTTTCCTCTTCTTCTCCCTCTCTCCATTCATTCATTGGTTTGATTGATTATTATTCTCAGAGTGAGTGAGTGGGGGTTTTTTTTTTTTTGGTTTGTGGCACTTTTTATACGCTTCTTCTTCCCCTTCCCTCCCACCGTCGTTACCATCAAACCATTTCTCTCCTCTCTCACACTCTGCAGCTCCTCTGTCTCAGAGACAAAACAAACAAATGGGGTCGAAGCAGCAGCAGCTTCTTCTTTTGCAGCTCCTCTGTCTGTCCTGTCTCAGCGCTGCTGTTATCTCTGCTGGATCTGATTCACCCTCCGCCGCCGCCGTCCTTGCTTTTGTGGAGAGCGGAGCCGCCACCGCCGCCGTTGCTGCTCCTCAACCTCTCAATGTTCCCCTCACTCTCATCCAGGGAGCTGACTCAAAGGGCGCTGGTAAAACCATTTCTCTTAATCCTCTGTTTTTTCCCGCTTGAAAAAAAAAACCCTCCATTTTTTACTTCTGCACTGAATGTTAATCTGCTGTATTTGCCATGCTTTCTCCGATTGGATTGAGTACCCATTTCTCATTCAGTGTTTTTATCAATTGGGTTGAGCTTTGAAACGGAGATTTCGAGATGGGAAGACACAAGGATTTTGTTTTTCTTGTCAATTTTTTTTTCCTCCCTCTTTTCCAAAAGGGTCTCTCAACTTACGCAATGAAAAAAAGAATGGAACATTTGGTTGCTTATAAACTAGTTTGTTTGATTATTTTCCTGAATTAATGAATCAATGTGACGTCACTTGGGAAGAATGCGGAAAATACAAGGAAGACCGATGCCGGATGGGAATGTTTTCAACTTTTTTTTTCAGAACAAACGTGCGACGACTCCATTTGTGTGCAAAGTATTTTAAATCGAGAAGGGGGGAAAAATCAATGGATTTTAAGGAGAAGTTGACTACTACAAGTGTTCGTTAAGCAAAACAATGACTTGTAACTTGACTTACAGTCAAACTTTCCCCATTGTTGGAGAAATCAACAGCTTGTTTAATTGTGAATGTCTCCTCTGCCTTTTTTTCTGCACAGTTTGTTTGGATGGAACACTTCCTGGATACCATTTACATCGAGGGTATGGATTCGGAGCCAACAGTTGGCTGATTCAGTTGGAGGTACCTTCCTTCCTTCCTACCTGCATTGCTCGCAACATAACCCAAATGGCTTGCTGCTATGGTTTTGGTGGTCGATTAACAATGAATAAATGTTGGGTTGAAAATGGCAGGGAGGCGGGTGGTGCAACTCTGTGAGGAGCTGTATCTACAGAAAGACCACACGGCGTGGTTCGTCGAAATACATGGAGAAGGTGATACCATTCACTGGGATTCTGAGCAACAAGGCCGAGGAAAACCCGGATTTCTTCAACTGGAATCGGATCAAGCTTCGTTACTGCGACGGGGCTTCTTTCACTGGAGATAGCCAGGATGAGGTCTGTTCTAGTGTTAGTTACTTTTCATTTTTGTTCCATGTATGTCATGTTAAAATCTTTGTTCTAACATGTGAATTGATGGATGGATGATGATGCTTGCAAAACATCAGGCCTCGAAGCTTTACTATCGAGGACAGCGGATCTGGTCTGCAGCCATGGAGCATTTCATGTCCCTAGGAATGAAATCAGCAAACCAGGTCCTGCTCTCTGGTTGCTCTGCTGGAGGGCTGGCATCCATTCTGCACTGCGATGAGTTCGGAGCCTTGTTTCCTCGATCCACCAAAGTTAAATGCTTGAGTGATGCTGGCTTGTTTCTAGATGCGTAAGCACTTTCACGTATTATCGAATCAGTCGCACCTTCAATCTTATGAAATTCGAATGGGATGTGTAGATGAGTGTAGTTGATTTCCTCACTTTACTGCATTTTTTTTTTCTCTCAGGGTGGATGTATCTGGTGGGCGCACTTTAAGGAGCTTATATGGCGGAGTTGTCAGCACTCAGGTTCTATGGCTGCATCTAGTTTGAGAATTTTGGGAATGCATGGATTTGAAATGCACAGATCTGATTTTTCTGCTTGTTATATTGTTCCTCCAGCAACTCCAGAAGGACCTCCCAAGTTCCTGTACCAACCACCTGGATCCAACTTCGGTATTTACTCTCTTGACGAGTTTCCTTAGTGAAATGGAAGAATGATTTCAACATTAATGATGGAATTTTTGTTGTTGTTGTTGTAGTGCTTCTTCCCCCAGAATTTGATCGCCAACATCCAGACCCCAATGTTTCTTCTCAATGCAGCTTACGATGCTTGGCAGGTATCACACCATCTTCATTTTTTCCACACATCTCACAATAATGAACGAATCGCACCGACAAGAAGCGTAACCTGATGCTGTTGTTTGATGTGCATCAGGTTCAAGCTAGTTTAGCTCCACCAACTGCTGATCCTCATGGCGACTGGGATGACTGCAAGAAGAACCACGCAGAGTGTAATGCGACACAGATCAATTTCTTTCAAGGTCTCTCCTCTCCTCACCTCTCTTTTGTTTTTGGTTTCTTAATTGTTTCAATATGTTTGGACAGTAGACTAAAAAATGAAGCCTTTCTTCCAAACAGACTTCAGGAACCAGATGCTGAATGCAGTCAAGGGTTTCTCCACGTCCAAACGAAATGGGTTGTTCTTAAATTCTTGCTTTGCACACTGCCAGACTGAAAGGCAGGATACCTGGTTCGCCGACGACTCTCCTGTCGTCGATCAGAAGGTAAAGCTGGCTACTTCATGACTTTCTGATGTGGCGATTCGATTGATACTTGGTTGAGGAATCTAGCTGATCTGAGATCTGTGGTATTTGCAGACAATTGCACAATCTGTTGGAGACTGGTACTTCGATCGCATGAGTGTCAAAGCAATTGACTGCCCATATCCATGTGACAGCAGCTGTCACAATCTTGTTTTCAAGTAGTTTTTATATAGGACCAAAAAGAAGAAAGAAAATTGATTCATGCCCCGAAGGGGAATCCATCCTATTATATTGGAAACGATTCCGAGGTTTGTAAAACTGTTTGTGTAAGCATTTATTTCAAGAATAAACACAAGTTCAGAGAAAATATTTATCAGTAGTTTATCAGTTGCCTTCTGATACCCACCATTGGATGCTTTTGTTTTCTGATTTCTACTGTAAAAGAGATGAGAAGTTTCTAAAATGTATGTGACTGCAGCAACGACGTCGTTTCGTACGTAACGATCGATTTCCCAGTCAGCTAAGCTTGACATCTCAGTTGGTTCAGTTTCTTTTCTGAAAAGAAAGGTCGTTTAAACTTCAAACGCAAGTCAGCTTTTTTCTGAACGATTTCGTTTCATTTGTGGAAAAAGAAACAAAAGGTGAGACAAAGAAGAAACAGAGGGTTACAAAAGACGAAACGGCCCACCAAAATAAAGGGCCCAAACACGTGAAATCACTGAAGCATCAAAGTGATTTCCAAGGCCCATACATAGACGACAAAACCATCCCACTGACCCATCGCCGTCCCGTCACTATATAACATCACATTGTCATCAAGAATCACATTTGATTAAAAGCTCATTAAAATGTTGAGTAAAAGTTAGATGAACTTATGAAATCTTTGTGTCTCTCCATTTAACTTTTGTATAATTCAAACAATAAAGACCTTATAGTAAAATTGGGTTTAGGAAATTATCATCGTAATCAACAGTAATCTGAATTATTCGGTTACTTGCGGCTTAATGATATAATAATAATAATGTGTAGTTAGGGGACCATGGATTAGTACTAATCTTTAAAAAGATAGATGGCAAAATCCTAGGAGGACATTTGGAATTGTGTAATTGGAGCAACGTCTTTGGCTGCTATGCTACTCTTCACTTCTTTCCGCCGCTCCTTTGCGCCCTAATGAACTAAAGGCCTGGCCGACAAAAGAAGGAAGGAGCATCAAAAGAAAATAGCCACTACTTCTCTGCTCTGAGTTAGTAGTAGTGGCAGGTTTGGCCATTTATTTATTATGAAGCTGGCTGCTGCAGCTATTGGCCACTCCAAAATCTAGCTCCAGCTCCATTCCCATCAAAAGTGAAGTATTGGTTGTTGATATTTGGATGTGGCTTAAAACCACATGTAAAGTATAAGTGTTTGTGATTTGGATACGTCAGCCAAGACATGCATTTGGGAAAGCTAGGTAGCTGGGAATCGGATTTACCTTACCTAAATCAAGTATACTCGTGATTATGGGTAGGAAATGGGGTAAAGTCTATACGAGTTTGGGGTTTGTATAGGTATTGCTTTCATATTAGTAGAGGATTGGGTAAAATACCGAAGTTGGGAGTAGATATCTATTTCACTTTAGGTACTAAATCTAAAGATATGTAAAGTTTAGGTACCAAATTGTAATTTGCATATGAGTATGAGTGCAATCCCAAGTCCATTGATTAAAAACTCAACCCAAATAAATGTGTATGAACCCATCAAACTCCTACCCATTTATGATTTACCTTGTATTTGAGTTTCATACCCAACACAATTGGGTTGGATAAGAAAATAATCATGAATTCGGGTAAACTTGTCATCCCTAATTCGGATGGGGGCGTTGGGCTTGATGTGCAGATCTGATGCATAATGTACATATGCATAAACCTATATAACATAAAGGGTTATGCATTGAGAGACGACTAATACTAGTGTAAATTGGAGATTGAGAGAAGACTAATACTATTGTGAAATAGTGATGGAATGATCTATGTATAATTAATTGACATTCTTGGTGGTTGAGGGTTGCGTAGTAGTGAACGAGAGAGTCTAGTTGAGAGGATGAAATACACACTAGCTTATATTTCGGTATTGATCGGTATTTCGGTATATACCGACCTCAATCCCGTAATCACTAATACCGGATAACAATTGAAATTCAATCACAATCCCACAAAATAATATGTGTATTCGGTAATACCAAATATAGAAAAATTCGGTACGGTATTCGGTATTATCCCAAATACCGATACCAAACTTCCAGCCCTACTTGTGATAATGACACCTCTCTAGGTGTGTCAGTCCAATTTGGTTAACAAATCGAACCATTTAAAACCAAAATTCTATATAGAATGCTTCTCAAAAACCAAATCTGCACCTGACAAGTTCGTTAACGGTTTTAGACTTTCAGTTATAACATTACCGAAAATCAAAATCCCCCCTGTAATAGTTTCGGTGGTTCAGGTTCAGGTCTCTTATGGACCTCGATTTAAACTTGAACCATTAAAATCCAAACCGAATCGGAACCAAACTACCGAAACCAATAGAACTCGTATCGATTCGATTCGATTTAAACCAAAAAAACCGAACCCAATTTCCCAGCCCTAAACCTCTCGTAGACCAATTTGATCCGACTCCACAACTAGTTGTGATTTGTGTGACCTACAAACAAACCCCATCATCGAAAGTTCGAAACACGTCAATCGTCATAGTATGTTTTTGTTACGATGGCAGTCAAAGTTGGGCAAGAGTTGGTGTCACCACTGCAAGCCAACAAAAAAAAAAGTTGCCAATCCACTCAGGGCAGAGCAATGGAGAGCTCTCTTATCCCTAAACCTGGGGTTCCGTGCCTGTATTTTACCCAGCTCCCAAAATCACCATCCTATCTCCTTCTCATCTCTTGTTCGTTTCATGAACAGGAAGAGGTTACCAAATCAAATTCTGCAAACCAACGCACACAGACAAAAAGCTCTGCGCCCATAGAATAACAACAAAACGATTCAGTGGAGAAGCAGGCCGACATGGCTGCCTTCTCATCCTCATCTAATTCCAATAAACTGTATTATCTACGCTGATTATTAACCTCCATTGATATAATCTACAGTCGACAGAGTTCCGTGCCGCCGATGTAATCGCACAGGACCAAACCAAACACTTCCCCCACAAATGGGGCAAAAAAAAAAGAGACCCAATCTCGCCGACGAAAAACCCAATTCTCCGGTGGGAATACTTACAAGGGAATACTTACAACGAAAAACCCAAATTCGGTCACTCGATCAGATCGCACCGCCGCCGCCGCCCTGTTTTCCGGTGGACGACGCGAACGCCACCGCCTGTGCCCACACTTTCAGCCGGGCCTTCACATCCCGCGGATCGTCCCCTGTTTCACCAATTCCCGGTAAAATCAACAATTCGAAATTCGACCAATTGGATTTGGGGGGGGTGCGAATTGCGATTTGACTCTCAATTGAACAACTTACCGGGGCTGGAGATCCGCCAATTGGCGATGGGGGAATTGCCGCCGCTGCTCGTCCCCGAAACCGACACCATCCTCTCGTGCTCCAGCTCAAAGCCTAGATCTTTACAGGCCTTCACTTCCCCCAAATCCATACACAGAGGCCGGCTCCCTCCTTTCGGCCGAGTGATCACCACCAGCCCTCCTCCTCCTCCTCCTCCACCACCGCCGCCGTTCTCGCTTTCTCCGCCGCCGTCGGTCCATCTCTCCTGACTAACCAACCGCCGCCGCCTCGGATTCCTCCTCAGTTTCCGCCCCGTCGAAACCCCCTTCTTCCCTCCTTCGTTCTCGCTGGCGTACTCCTTCGCCGCTTCAGCTCCCCTGATCGGCAGCGGGCCTCCCCTGTTCCGCCGCCGCGGCGGCGTCGAGGGGAGCGAGTAGCACCCCGGCTCCTTGTCGGAGTCGGAATCGGAGGAGATGAGGTCGAGGCGTACGGGTCCCAGGGTCGGGTTCGGGCGGACCCGATTTGGGTTCTGGTCGGAGAGCTCCGCGTCGGCGTCGAAGCTGTCGATCGACAGCCCGGACATGAAAATCCGGCTCATGGCTGAGTCTTCGTCGTCGTCGCCGTCGTTGGTGTACATGGAGCTCGTGCAGACCGAGAGACGGGAGAGGTTGTGGTGGGAGTGAGGGTGGGAGGAGTGGAGATCGTAGCCGTCGTCGGCGTCGGGGTCGAGGAAGTCGTCGACGGAAGAGAGGACGGTGGAGCTTTCGTCGGACGCCATGGAAGCACCAGTAGTAGTAGTAGGAAGTGAGAAAAATCACGGACCAGGAGTCAGGGAAGAAAAAGGGAATATTGGAATTGGATGAAAGGAGAAGCAAGTGGAGAAACAGAGCTTAAAGGGGAGAGATTTGGTGGTTCCTCCGTGAAGGATTGATTCTGTTTGGGTTGGGTGGGACTTTGCAGTGATGATATTGATAACAATGGCGAAAGTAAGAAAGTAGTAGTGGACAGATTTGTAGTAGGAAGTAAACTGAGATCACTTTCCCAACATTGCTTATTTATACACATGTCACCCCGAGCACTTGGAATATTTGTCTTATTGGGCTCCGAGAAATTTTAGAATGCTCAAAGCAATGGTTAAACCGGTGGTATGTCGATCGGCCACCAGGCGGATCGTATAAGGTTCAATCAATATCAGTCATAAAATCGGCTTGAAGTACCACCTGTATGAAGCTCTAGTCAATACAGGTCAACACCCGAAAAATCGATGGTTCTATTGGTGCTCTCAGCTTCTGGTCCCTTGTCATTAACATTGATGTTTTGTTAATTGGAATGTAAAAAAAAAATAGGAATGCTTGTCAATTGTGAAAGATTTCGCAACGAGATAGTGAAGAGAAATTCCTAAATCTATTTCTAGGAGCTCCAATATGTTGAAGCAGAACATGACACCGTCGAGCCATCAACTTCCGTTTTGCTGCCAACTAACTCTCTTCTCCTTGAGTCCTCGCGAAGCCTATCTGTCTTGTTCGAGCCCTACAATCCTCGACGAGCCACAGAACCCGTCGTGTACCAGTAAAGCAACAATCACAGCTTTAGGCCAGGTCAGAGTGGGAGGCTCATGAAGGAGAAAGTTCTAGCCAAGATTGCTAAGTTAGGGTTGAAAGTTGACTTCATGGTTGATCAAGTTCTGGCAAAGGTATTTGATCATGGGGAGTGATTTCGCAGTTGGAGTAAGCTTGGTCATGGCAATGGGAATTTAAAGGAATGGGATCCAACATGAGAGCTCTTGTAAAAGTTTTTTTACAAAGGAAAACCCCATAGCGAAGAAAATGAATGGTGATGTGTTGAAGGAAGAATTCGTAGAAGTTAAGTAGAGAGGCCTTAGGGAAGCTTGTACTTAATGTTGATTCAGAGAATATGATTTAAGGGGAAAGGTTGAATCAGTCATGGACTTAGAGATAGAAGGATTTTGATGTTTCTACATCATTTTAGGAAAGAGATGAATCAACTAGTGGTTAATTGGCGACCATCGGATGTAAGATATATGATTTTGAAGATAAGAGATGGTTTATGAAAAATGATGATCTTATTCAAAGTTGGTAAGTACTCTAAAAACTGAATGCTAGACATAGCTAACTAAATCTAAGATATGCTCTAAGATATATGATTTTGAAGATCATAGATAGATCAAGATAATTTGTTATGGGACAATTCAAGTACCATAATACAAGGAAAGGACACTTGTATATTAGTGTCCACCAAGCTCATTAGTATGAGGCCTTTTAGGAAGGAAAACAAAAATAATTCCGTTCGGACTTGACCCAAAGCGGACAATATCGTAGTAATGACCTACTTGCAAAGATTGACAATGTATATTGTAATACCTTCTCCATACTGCCTGACCCTAATCCAACAAAAAAAAGGAGAAGAAGATAAAAGCTGCAAACCAAACCCAAAACAATAAAACAAATCGTGATAATCGTAAGACCCCTATGACTTTCCACAAGCAATCTCTCTTCAAATCATTACAACAGAGCTTATGGATTAGAGTTTCCTCAAATTTCCTAATCTTAATGGGAAGAGATAATCTATAATGATGCAGACTAACACGCCTCAACAGATTTTTGGGAGGAGTCGTGAATCCCATTTGTGACTGTAGTTTTATTATTTTGTGGGTTTGAGGCTTTTTAATAATTTTGTCGGTCCGATCTGGTCAGCCTCTCAAAGCATATAAATAGAAGAAATGAATTAGGTGATATATACATATATACAAAAAAATTAAGGAGAGTAAATCTGAAAGGTCGCTATCGTTACAGCTTTAAATAATAAATACAAAATTTTCTTCTCGCCTTTGGGTTAGTGACTTGGCACCATGGTTGTCATGCCGGCCGGCGTGCCACTGGTTGAACCTGGTTCAACCTGTACCGGTCATAAAACCGGCATGACACTACCGGTATGACCGGCATGATCGATATACAAATCTCCAAGTAAAATGACCTTATCTTAGTGAATTTAATTGATAAAAAATACTTTATTATTTATTTTATGTGTTAAAAAGTTAAATGTTGATGTTATTTGTTGGATCCAAGTACAAATATTTAGGTATTGGCGTTAAATGTCGTGTTTAAATATGAGTATTTGTAAATTATTTGTAATATTAACCGGCATGAACCGGCACAAACCGGTATGTACCACCGGTCGAACCATTCCACTTGCTAAACCGGCACACTGGCATAAACCGGTTTGACAACCTTGCTTGGCACTTAATAAACGAATGGACCCGAAATCATCATTAACAAAAAAAAGTAAAATAATAATAATTATGATTATCACAACACGGCAGGATCGTGACAATTGCCGTATAGGATCAAAGCATATGTAAAAGGAGGTTGGGAAATTTAATTAGCAGTGTCCCGCCACACTCCCGCTAATCTACCGCCACGTACTCACTCTCCCCAATTTCTTTTTCTTTTCTGTTTTTTTTTTTTTAAGGTTCCCTTTGCCTTCCCAATTCCTCTCATTGTGGAGCCCTCTAAACTCGTTTTTATGAAAAATAAAGAATATAATAAAACCGTCCATTTTCTAGAATAGTTAGACCAACTCCAATCGATAGGCTAACCAACTCCAATTTAATGGGACAAATATTTAGTCATCTTGGAAGTTAAAAGTCTATTTTTTTTAACTCTCCAAACAGTTTGTCATGCTGGCATCTTCTCTACTGGTTGCAATTTCTGATGTGACCCGCACAATCGGGTACCGATTATCAAACTGACTGGAAGTAATCGGTATTTAGTAATGGTTATTTAGGTCAAAATCGGAAAAATTGTCTGGTCAGACCAGAAATCGAATTTCAGTAACTCTTACATATGTCCTCTAACTTATAACGGGATTTGAACCGAGTAACTTATGTTCACTAGTCTCAATTATATATACACCAATAGGCTACAATGAACTTTATGACATGTATTAACCTTATATACTATATAACTAATACTATATTTTACGTAAACACTAATTCAATTTTATTATATATATATATATATTTATTATAGTTATTTACTATTAGTTATCAATTCTTAATTATAAATTATTTTATGTGAATTAACTCTTTTATTTGATTCTTCCTAACTAAATTTATTTGGTGTTGATGATTTTTAATTTTTCTCATATATTCTATTAAAACCGTCATAACCGGCTTAAATAGGTTGTACTATCGATCGTGCCATTCAACTTGGCAAACTGACATAATGGTATAAACCGGCTTGACAACCGTGCTCTCCTAGTAAGCTTTTTACTTTAACCATAGCTTCTTGAATTTAGTCCTTTTAGTTGATCTCTTTAACATAAATTGGACTTATATGCATAATAATTTATGTTTTCATTTATACTATTTTTCATAAACTTTTAATCACCTAACTGGAATATTGGATGCAACTTTTGGCTACCAGTAATTGGTTGGTTACCTCGCAAGAATACGATTTTGGTAGCATGAATCGATATATTGTTGCAATCTAACGAAAAAATGCATAACTATAGCATTACCAGTCTCTCGTTGTCTGTCTTCCTTCAAAAACCCACGGAAATGTAGAGCGGATAACCCAACCCGCACCAATTTCCATCCTTACTTTCGTTCATTCATTTTACAAATCCCTAATTCATCACCTCTTCTCCTCCGATTCTTCTCCTCTCTTTAAATTAGCGGCTCTTTCTTTTCTCCTTCTGTCAGGGCTTAGGCCCAATCGATTAATGCGATCCATTTTCCTTTACCGGTTGGGCTAGTGAAAACTGATCCAAACTTATTTGATTTAGGTTGCTAATAAGTTTGGCCTGCTGCTCTATCATGCTTGTAGCCCAGAGTAATAAGTAATAGCTAGGCTTAAGATAGTTGGTGGAGGCCTTATGCCTAGGAACCTGCCAGCACAGGCCCATGGATTCACAATGCGTGTTTGTAATATCTATTTTGAGACAATTGTCTTCGAAAACCTCATCCAAAATGGATCTTAGACTAGTTTTGGCTGGCGTACGCTATACGTTTATTTTTGATAATTTTGACGAATAAGAACCGTTGATTTTCATTTCAAGATTAAATGAAACTTATGATTTGGGTTAGAGAATTGAAGACCGAGGACTGAGGTTTACCCATTAGAGGTTAGGGTATAGTATTATGCCCCAAAGTTTAGGGTTCGTTTGGAGAATGAGAGTCTAAATCTGTAGATGGTAAACAATCCAAAGATTCTAACTCTTTGGATTGTTAAAAACCAATTTTAAAATGTGCATTGTTTGGCAACATGAAGGATCTTTTTCGACCTTAATTGGACCGATAAGAACAAGAGAACGAGAGAGATCCATGATTCATGAGTAATAAATCAAACCTTAATTGGCAAGACGGATTGTAACATGCTGAATCTTTTTTCGACCAAGTTATTGTTCGCTTTGAGTCTATACCATCACGATTTTCACGTTGGGTGCACATATAGATGACTTTCCGAGAGGTCACCCATCCGTACACTGCTCCATAGTGAGCACAATTAACTATACTTCACCCCCCAAAATGCGTCTTGTTAGTTAATGTCTGTTTCTTACTTATGAATCATGAATCTCTTTGTGTTTTGTCAATCTGGAATTTGCCTGAGGTGTTACATACAAAACACCCCCCCCCCCTCTCAGAGACTCAACGTCCTCATTGAGGTTTACCCCACCAATGACGCAATGACGCAGAGAAGCTTTGATACCACTTGTAAGTTTGTAGCATCCCCAAATTTTTTTTTTTTTTTTGCGACCAAGATATTGTCCGCTTTGAATCTAAAACCCGTACGATTTTGACGTTGTGATGCATATCAAGGTGACTTTCCCATAAGTGAGAACGTTTCACTTTGAATTTTTACAAGAACTCTTCATTTGTTCTTCGTGAATACATAATTTACCTAAAGTTGTACAATTATACCCGCAGAATGCACACCATAACCCAAATTGGGATTTATCCAGATAACATAAATCTGCTCGTTTTAACGTAAATTAGCTTACAGGAAAAGGCGCGCCGACTAGTCGTAATTATTGATCGAAGAAGGTCCAATCCAAGGCAAAAACC